ACCCCTAAACCCCAAAAAACTCTAAACCCTAAACCCCTAAACCCTCAAGCCCAAAACCCCTAAACCCCTAGGCCGAAAGTCGTAAAGACCGAAGCCATGGGTTCGGCTGCTTGGTGCCAGGCCTGGGGGAAGAAAGAAAGGGCAGGCGCCGAGGAGGCGGCGACCTCAGTGGTTTAGGGTGTAGGGTCGAGGGTTTAGGGTTTTGGGGTTTAGAGGGTTTAGGGTTTTCGAGTTGGGGGGTTTAGGGTTTAGGGGTTTAGGGGTTTAGGGTTTAGATTTTCGGGTTTAGGGGTTAGGGTGTAGGGTAAAGATCAGGATTATGCCGGGGATTTTTAGTGGTTTAGGGTCTAGGGTTTAGGGGGGGGTAGTTTGTTGATTCCGGGGATCAGTGTATAGAGTCGAGGGTTTAGGGTTAACATCAGGATTATGCCGGGCTTGCCCTGCGGCAGTAGGGCAGTGGGTTGGTTCAGGACTCTTTAAATTTAAGGCTTAGCTCTTGTTTAGGTTTGCTCTTGGGCTTCTGGGCCTAAACCCTAAACCCTAAACCCTAAACCCTAAACTTTGCTCTTGGGCTTCTGGGTTCATGCTGCTGACCAGAACTCTTTGGGCTTTTCGAATTGGCGTTTGTGGGGGGCTTGCTATGCTCGTGGCAGGGGTTTCGAATACGGCGGAATGGGACAAAGTTTCGTCTGCAGTTCCTATGAGCGGGACATGCAGGGACAGAAGATGGCATAAGAATGGAAGTAAAACTACTCTTGCGAGCCAGTGCTTGTTCTACTACTACGACGACTACTATTACTACTACCTTTAGTGCTACTAGGCTGCCTGTGCGACAAGTCTTTGATGACCATTCTGGTGTCATGTGCAACTGCAATAGAAAAGCCGCAGTGCACAGAGCTTGAGCGTTGCCTGCAAGTTACTTGGCTTAGCATTGCAACTCGCCGATTTGGGTCAAATTCGAGCTCGCTGCTCAAGGAGCTTAGAAGCTCATGCCTAGAGAAGATCATAGAAGGACACCCGCGGTACCGATTTAGTATATGAGCCCATGAGACTTCAGAGTTGTGTAGAGCCTCCGGCCGTTGCCGGAAGACCTGTTCGGGAACCGATGGGCTGGTTTGATGACAACTTCGACAATTTTCTCGGTCACCATTATGGTATGGGGATGTTTGGGCCGGACATAGATGACTGCGACATGGACGAAGGGGAGTGTGTCAACTGCGGTCGCAAGGGCATGAAGTTTGAATCTGCCATGGACAAGGGTATCGCCTGGGAGTTGTACACAGGTCACCCCGATGCCATTCGCACTTGCAACAAGTGCAAGAAGGACCACAAGTCTTGCATGACTGAAGTGATGGCTGTGAAGAAGTACAAAGTCCTGAGCCAGGGTGATGCCTTTGGGAGGCTGCGACGTGAAGGAAGGTACTTCACCCAGAAACCCGAGACTATGGGTATGCAGTGCCGCAAGATCACCTACTTCTGGGTGGTGGACCTCGAAGAAGCAGCAGCAAAACTCGGCTGGCAGCCCAAGGAGAGCTCCAAGGCGATGCCGAAGGAGAGCCCCCAAGCAACAAAACGAACAGCAAGTGTTGCTGGGATGTTTGGGTTGCCGCCGGCCAAAGCCCAGGCTGCTGTTAATGCAGACGGGAAGCCGGTTCGCAGGTGTGGGATTTGTCGGCAGCCGGGGCATAACAGAACCTTGACGGCGATTGCGAAGATTCTATTCCTATACTACTGCCGGGAAGTCAGATCCAAGAGTTTTAGGCCTTGAACTTTGCAAGCACATCAGCCACCTCTGTGTTAGTTGCGGTCTCATGAAGCACTCAGGAACAAAGTGTCCACACAAGGATGCTGCCCCTGCAGCCGTGTCAGCTGCAGCACGTGCTGCACCGGCCCCTGCCGAGAAATGTCCCGCAGCAGCTTCCGCAGCTCAGGAAGCAGCATCTCCGGCAGATGTAAAGCTGAAGCTCGGCTTGTATGAATGAGCTTCAGTAAGCTATCATGCCCTGCTAATAAGGATATGTATGTGTGTATATATATATATATACATGCGCATATTCACATCTGTGCAAGCATCTCTGACTATGAAAGCATGTACTTTTCTGCATATACACAATGCATTACAGTACATAAATTCATAGATAGATACAGACAGACAGAAAGCCAGACAGACATGCAGAGAGACAGAGACAGACAAGACAGACAGAGACAGAGACAGAGAGACAGAGAGACAGACAGACAGACAGACAGACAGACAGACAGACAGACAGACAGATACCCACATCGACACACGCACACATGTGCATATATATATGTATATATATATATGCATGTACATACACATATACATATAGACATACATGCTTGTTGGTAGAAGGAGAGCGACAGCCCATGCGACACGATACGACAGGAGACGATGGGACAGAACAGGACAGGATATGACAGGACAGGGGATAGCATAGGATAGGCTAGAACAGATAGGTACGGAAAGACACAGATAGATAGATGTTTAGAGAGGTACATAGGTATTCAGATACGATAGGTAGACAGGTAGATAGACAGATTGAGACATGTGTAGGTAGACAGGCAGACAGACAGACAGATAGAGAGATGGGTAAAGGTCATCTCCCCACATCTCGTAGACTTCGTAGACGTTCGGCAAATTATTTCCGAACAACAAAGAGTAGTTCACCTCCCAAACAAGGCACTTGACCATAAAAGCCATCCATGTTGCCTTTGTAACTGATTTGAGCCCCAAGCCATTATACCACTAGTTTCCCTCAGATGGTTGGTTTGGACCCAGCACCATGAATTTGTTGAACCCATCCGTGTGACTTTAAGAATTGTTCAGGGACCCAAGCCCAGCAACATGACTTAATGTAGTGGCCTCAATAATTACCAACACTATTTTTGGGGCTCCTTCTTATAGTTGTAAGATAATAGGCCCCCAAACCCTATTCTAATTATCAAGGCCCCTATATTCATGCAGTTCTTGAAACACCTAGGAAGCTGAGGGACTTCTCCGATCGTCCTCCAAACTGCCGAGTTGGGTCTTGCTTGACTGACGCCGCACGACGCGGGGACACCGCAGAAGTGAAGTCAATCGTGGAAGAGCGCATCGGCAAAGGCTTCTTGCACTACCCCGATTTTCTGCTGAACTACTGCGCCAAGTACCACGAGGTTGACTACAAGATGGGTGGATACACGAAGGAGTGGGACTGGTTCAAGTACACTCCAGTCGTGGCTGCGGCCAAGAACGGAACTTAGTAGCTGAGTGAGTACACTTTGCACTTTTTGGGATTATATGACCCCTTATTGAACTGAAAGTGTACACTTTTTGGGATTTTATGATCCCTTATAGAACTGAAAGTGTACACTTTTGGGGGCTTATGAACTCAGCAACTAAGGTCATATTGAATGTGTGCGGGTGTTGCTACTCAATGGCGCCTGTCCAGTGTCCTTGTTAGCAGCTGGCACGGTTTAGGGTTTAGGGTTTAGGGTTTAAGGTTTAGGGTTTAGGGTTTAGGGTACTTTGCAAGCTTTCCCTAAGCGTCCATGTACCCAAATAGTATATACTTGGGCCTTAATGTAGTCCCTATATAGGTACTTTAGGGCCAATGTATATACTGTTTGGGCACATGGACCCGTATAGGGTTTACCTATCTTGAGGTAAACTACCCACGCCACTATTTGGTTCATGCCGTTTGCAACCTGCAAGATTTCCCGCCAGCGGTCGGTACAAACACCTCGGAATCACAGGAAGCCAACCTGCAATGTATTGCCATCTGTCATAAAAACCCAAGCGCACCCTAAACCCTAAACCCTAAACCCTAAACCTTATAAACCCTATAAACCCTAAAAACCCTATAAACCCTAAACCCTGAAGTATATAATTGAGGGTCTGTGGACCTTTGGGGCTCGACATGGATAGGTCTTGCAGTGCTGCGAGATTGACGACGTTTGCGAGGATGCCTTGAAAGCCGCCAGCAGCAAGGGCGGCAGCTGGACTTTGAATTATATAGCTGCGGCAGAAACTGTGTAGGTTCTACCGCATATTATTGGGGGCCTGAACAGCTAGTAACAGTATTTTTGGTGTTTAATCTCTTGACGGTCTACATTCGCTATAGCTATTATTCAGGCTCCTACATTGCCCCTCATCGGAAGACGGGGCTGTAGCAAATGGGTTTTAGGATTCGGGTACTCATATCAGGGACTCCCAAAACACAGCTACCTTAAACAACGATGTCGTTTCCAATCCCGAAAAGTCCCTAGAATCTCGAGAAAGCCCCGAGAGCCCGAAACCAGCAACCTAGTAACCCTTTACTGGGTTTAGGGTTTGGGGTTTAGGGTCCCTAAACCCGAAACCCGAAACCCTTTTCCCGAGGCCCTAAACCCTAAACCCTNNCCCCCCCCCCCCCCCCCAACAAGGCTGGGTTGGCAATTCGATCGCCACTGAGATGGAGAAGCTGGAGCGCGGAGAGCAGCTGATCAGTTGCAGGAAATTTCGCTGCTGCTTTTGTGGGGCTTGGGGTTCCGATTTTAGGGTTGAGAGTGTTGTTGCGCGGAAGGGGATTTTGAAGGGCAATCTCAGGGTCTTAGGTTTACTTGCTCGCAGGATGAGGGCGCTTAGTGTAGCTATGTTTACAAGTTAGGAAACCGTTTCTTACTTAGCTGCGCCTACTTACGCCCCGAAACAAGATACCAAAAAGCCTACGGGCCTATTGACATCCACCTATGAACCTTCAAAGTGCGCGTTGGGCGTTAGGAGTTGGAGTATTTGGGATTGAAGTTTCGGCTTAAGGCGTTGAGGGGGGCTCGTTTTAGCATGTATTGTATGCAGTCTCCCGTTGCATTCGTGTTTGAGGTCATCCGCGTAAGTCAACGCTACCCAGAGACTCTGATACACATCAAGTAGTCAGCATTCCTTCAGAAAGCTGACTTCCTTGAGATGCGATCTTTCATCCATAGCTGTTGGGATGCTGTTGGGGTCTCTTGGTGTATCTGAGAGCAGTGGCCTAAGGCTGCAATCCTACAGCTCTCTGGTGCAGCAGGCAGGACGTGACAGTTGCCAGACAGTTATCAAGAATGCCCTGGCTCGCGCTAAGAAGTCTGCAGAACTGGAAGCTAGGTTCTTGCTCAGGAGCTCGATTTAACACGCCCGAAATACCCTAATAAAGGGTACATACATATGTGTGTATAAATATGTACAAATATGTACACATTTATGTGTGTACATATATATATATATACTACTGAATTCTGTGTATGTACGTATATGTATAAGTATAGAGAGAGAGAGAGATTACACAGTATTTTCCATTCCATGGTCACTTGACTTAAGCTCCATGACACGAGCCCAGGAAGCACTGGTCAAGGTCGCCATGCCATTCTGGCATCACATCAAGGATCGGAGTGCTCACTGGAATGAGCCTGGCTTCTTGTTAAGGAACTGATATTGAAAGTTACCGTCATATAGGGATGCAGAGTTCATCATATGGTTTCCGTACTATTAAAGCTATCATCATAACAGGCATCTAATGTTAATTTTATGGTTTCCTCATTATGGTAATGCAACAGAATGCCTTAACACGAACCCAGGACAAGGCAGCTCGAAACAACCAGAAGCTCGTCCCGTCGGATGGGGCAGCGCTGCGCGCGGCTGTGGAAAGCTTCACATTTGAAGCGCGGGACGCTGTCCAAAACCCGGGACCTTAGTAGGATCCCCATAAACAAACCTACCACAACAAACAGCGGCCCTAATTCAACACAGCCTCGTAAGATCCTGTTGTTAATAGTAATTCTACAGCCCGTATTACTAGAGACCCCTTCCCTATCACCTTAAAACCCTACACCCCAGAACCCTAAATCCCAAAGCCTAAACCTTAAAACCCTACACCCTAGAACCCTAAACCCTAAATCCTAAATCCTAAACCTTAAACCCTAAATCCCAAATCCTAAACCTTAAAACCCTGCACCCCAGAACCCTAAACCCTATAAACCCCTAAACCCTAAATCCTAAACCTTAAAAACCCTTCACCCCAGAACCCTAAACCCTATAAACCCTAAACGCTAAATCCTAAACCTTAAAAACCTTTCACCCCAGAACCCTAAAACCTATAAACCCTAAATCCTAAATCCTAAACCTTAAAACCCTACACCCCAGAACCCTAAGCAGGCCGGGGATGGTTTCTCAGAGGAGCGAGCCAAGCGCCTGGCAGTGAGGCTGGAAGAGGAGAGGCGACGTCTCTTCCCGGTGAACCAGCCTCAACTTGCGCTGGGATTCTGGGGTTCTTGCAGTCTAGAATTTGTTTATAGGGGTTTAGGGTTTAGGGTTTCTTGCAGTCTAGTAGAATTTTGTATAGGGGTTTCTTGGTGTCGACGAGTCTACGACTAGGAATTTGTTGTGAAGTTGCCCCCCCCCATAGATAGTGCAGGTTATGTTAGGTAATTGAGCCCAGGAATGGGTCACCCAACAAGCAGATGGCGAAGGGCAGCTTCCCTTCCGACGGTGCCAGCCTTGCCCTTGCTGCCCGCGACCAGCAACTCGCGAGTCTCATTGGATCAGCCCAGGGCTGCTCCAGAGAAGCCATTTGAGTACCACGGGCCTTGCTTTTGGGTCAGATTTCGGCAAGATGTCGTTGTCCACAGGGAGCTATTAGGCTTTACACAATGAGACGGTACTAACTTTTTTAGCTAATCACTCCCGCTCCTTTTTTGGCTCGGACTTTCATTTTCGCGAAGAGCCGAGGTCTTAGCTGTCGGAGGAACACCAGTGCACAAAACTGCACCTTCGGATGGTGTGGCAAATGCTGCAAGGGGAAGGGCTGTGCCCGCCACCGATGACGTGAGGATAAGAGCTGCCATTGATTCCTGGTGAATCCCAAACCCTCCTGCACTTGTTTGTTCTTATGGGCTTCTGGGGCTACAGGGGACTACGTCGCCCGGGAGCGATCCTCACTAGGGAAAAAATCCATGCCCCCAGGGTCCGTGTGCGCATGAAGCGGAACCTTATTATAGTCCGTAAATTGGTGTGTGGTTTAGGGCCAGGGGAAGTATATACTATGTGGGGCCAATATGGTGAATATGGTATATACTCGGGCCTTAAGGCGGTTCCAACTTCGTAACTTTATAGGGCCATGATGCAAAATATGCTGGCACATGGACGCTTACGGCATGGTCTCCGGGTTTCTGGTATGGAGGCCTTCAGCGATGCTGGCGGTGCTGTTGGGGTCGGGTGGCACCCTGCACCGGTGAAGGCGCTTGCAGCCTGCAAAAAGCTTGCGACACTTGTGCTGCCCCTAAACCCTTTAGGGTTTAGGGTTTAGGGTTTAGGGCCTAAACCGTATGCAAGCCCTAAGCCGGATCCTATCTATGCTCTATACGCCATGAGAACTGATCCAAGCGCAGGCGCCCAAACCAAATTCCTGCACGCATTGCATTGACCAAGTGCAGAAGGCAGGATGTTCATGGGCAGTGTCGAGCCTGGTATGGGACCCTAAACCCTAAACCGTGGGAGCTGTTTAGCCTGCAACGGTTCTGCCTTATCAAAAGACCAAGCTCAATTGGATTCGTGGTCCTCAGCCTTCCATATTCGCGAGTTCTGGCTCAGGACTTTGCAACTCTGTCCGCTGTTTTATCAATGTTAAGGGCTGAGGCCCTTGCTAGGTGTACGATGTATGGCATCGGCCCTCTACTGCTCTTGCATGCATGCACCTGCGGGCCATTCTCCAACTTCCCACGTGAGCGCCCCTCCACCCCCGATTTCTGCAACACAGGCTCTAATACCGAAACCAAAGTAAACCCTAAACCCTGAAACCCCCGCCAGAAAGTAAACCCTAAACCCGAAACCAAATAAACCCTTGAACCCTAAACCCCAAACAAAATTAAACCCTGAACACTAAACCCCAAACCAAATTGAACACTGAACCTTGCGGGCCCAAAAGCTCTGGATAAACCCAACTTGAAAATCGAAACGATGCGGAACGAGGTGGGACTGCGCCCCTTTGGTGGCCAACAGCCTGAGATGTGCGTCACAGTGAAGGCAGAAGAATGCTGGCTTTGCAGAGTGCTACTTGGAGGTTCATGGGTAGTTATAAGTGGGCTTATAAGTAGGGCAACTATAGTTATAACCTATATTAGGGGACTTATAACTCCACTTATAACTAGCCATGAACCTCCAAGTACGAGGTTCTTTAGGGCTGTGGTGTGTGGCATGTACGTAAGGGTTCAGGGTATCGGCGTTGCTGTTCACGGACACAATGCACAAGGCGGGACTCTGCGCATACAAAAGGCTGCGGCTGCTACTCCCTCAGCGATGTACGATTTGTCCACCATCGCTACTATTCACAATAATCGACCGACTTGTACTTTCATCACATGCAACATTTTAGGCAGAGTCAGAGGGTGGCAATCTGGTATCGGGTGTTTGCAGTGGTGATGTAGCCCCCACAAACCCTCCTACTAAACCCTAAAACCCCAACCCCTAAGCCCTAAAACCCCCAACCTTAAAGCCCTAAAACCGAAGAACCCCAAACCCTAAACCCGCAGAAGGCCTTTTTGCATTCCTAGTAGCATGCTGTGTCGAGTCTAGAAACCTGTGGGTTTCAACACGTAAATCTAAAGCCCTCAACCCTAAAACCCGAGTTCTGTGCGTTTAGGGTTTAGGGTTTCGGGTTTAGGGTTTAGGGTTTAGGGGGTACCCATAAGGGTTTAGGGTTTAAGGTTTTAGGGTTAGCCCAAGTCGTATATACTTTGGCCTTGAAGTCGTCCCTATGATAGGTACGGTAGACCCTAAACCCTAAACCCTAAACCCTACACCCTACACCCTTTGGGCAGAACCTTTGGGTTTCCAACTCGGGAAAGGATGTCCGACGCCCCCCGGTTTAGGGTTTAGGGCTTACCCATAGGCCCCATAGTAGTTTTCTAAATATGAACCCCAAAAAGGAACTACTATGGGGCCTATGGGTAGGGTTCACAATGAACCCGAAACTAAGCCATAATATAGAAGTCTGCATAGTTGCCCGCCTGATTCCTCAGTGTTCTTTATTGTAGCTATGCTAAGACTACAAGAAGCCTTATCCTAGTTCATGCGAATGACACTATATAATCACACCGCAAAACCTCAAAGTGAATTGTTCAGGCCCCTAAACCCTTAACCCTAAACCCTAAGCGCCTCGATGTTAATGCTTTGCAGGTCACAGTTCCTGCGCTCACGCTGAGCGACAAGAGCACACGTGTCATTGAAGCAAAGATCAACACTACCCTGGAGGCTGAAGCTAAAGGGTTTAGGGTTTAGGGGTTTAGGGTTTAGGGTTTAGGGTTTAGGGTTTAGGGTTTAGGGTTTAGGGTTCACCTTTTAGGGTTTCGGGCTTGGGGTTTAGGGTTTAGGGTTCAGGGGTTTAGGATTTCGGCTTTGGGCTTCAAGGTTTAGGGTTTGGGGTTTAGGGATTTAGGGTTTAGGATGTAGGGTTTTGGGCTTAGGGCTGCCCTTACCCCCGGTTCCTAAAGGCGTTGCTGTAAGGCTTCCTTTAAGGGCCTATATGGTGGGGGATACTTACCTTAGCCAAAATCGTAATTGCGTTCTTTCCAATTTAGAAACCCCACAGTACTTTCTCCTAGATTTGTACTTATACCTCTTTGGATCAGGATTATCGTTTCAGGGTTTGAGGTTTCAGGGCTTAGGCGTCAGGGCTGTCTGGCTAGATGGTTTCAATGTTTAGAGCTTATACAAATTGTTTCGAATTTAGAGTTTAAACCCTGGTGCCTCGGGTTTGGGCTCTGGCTTGGATTCAGGACAGGGTGTCGACCTTGAGTTTGGGATTTAGATGTTCGAGCTTCAGGCTGTGTTGTCGGGCTGTTCTGCCAGTACATACGCGCAAAAGTAGAGAAGACATTCGGTTCGATGTTTTCCGTTGCTGTACTCGAGGTTCGTCGTCGTCGTCGTCGTCGAAATCGCGAGCCATGGAAGACTACTATCGCCAATCCCAACATCTGCGTCTGAATGGCTGGTGCGAGTCAGGAGGAGTTGCATGGGACCAGCAGTCTAGTACGTCCGATGTTTCTGTAATCTGGAGACCGTCAAGTCTACGCTACGCCACAGAGACCTGGCATGGCAGGCTTCGACGCGTTTCACGGCAAGCACACTTCGAGCCTCTCTGGGTGGATGCAGACAGCAGCAACAATTCCCATACTCCAAGCCGCGGCCCCGGAACCCGAAACCCGAAACTCCTCATTCCAGCAACAAAAATGAGAAGCAGCTGCCCGAATCCTAGAACCTAAGCCCTAAACCCTAAACCCGAAGCCGTAAACCCTAAACCCTAATCTCAAGGCCCTAAGCCCTAGCTCCAAGAATAGCTTGCAGGTCTTGGCCAATGCGACTGAGAAGGCGGCAGTTGCCGGTTCAAGCCGCATTAGGTTTCGGATTAGGGCCATTAGGTTTTAGGAAAGTTTGTGGGTTTGGGGTTTCGGATATGCAGGGATGAGGGTTTGGGAAAGTTTAGGGTTTCGGGTTCCGGATATGCAGTTACGATTTTCTGGGCTTGGATCTGGATTTCAGGGGTTAGGATCCATGTTTGCATGTGTGAATGTATGATGATTCCGTGTCTGTGTGCATGTAACTATGTGTGTATGTATGCATGTATTTGTGTGGGTGTATTAATCACGTATTTGCTTTGTTTTTGCATTGAGTCAGTCTGCATTTACATCTACCTATGTAGACCCTCCTTCATGTGCAGGCCGAAGCACAAGCGTCCGCCACCGCCAAGACGAGCCGTCAAGCAGCGGTGGAGGCTGATATCCTACGACGTCGGGGGATCTTGGCCTTAGGGCAACATTAAGGTTCAGATTTCAGGGTATGCGGATTTAAGGTCTCTAGGGTTCAGGCATATACGGGTTTACAGTTTGTAGTTTACACGGTGTGGGGTTTAGAGTCAGTTAAACAATTTGTGTATCAATGTTCTTGATCATGCCGCCCGTGGATACCGCGGCTACTCATCACCATTAGCTCCAGCATCATGGTCGCGACAAACACTTCTATCGTCATTGCTGTAGTCATGACATATGGGTGGTTGTCAAGACTAGAGTCCGTTTTGGGTCCTCAAACGATAGCATGCATTATTAAGGTTATTAAGAGTAGAATTGCATAGGGCTCCCCAAAGGGACCATGATTTTCACAGTCACCCTAAACGCTAATTCCATATGCCATCATCTTAATCTTGTCATTTGAGACTTTAAACCTCTAGCTCTATGTTGTGCCCGGTTTAGGGCTAAGGCGTTTAGGGCTCAGGGTTTCGGCTGTAGGTAAACCAGATCCTGGAAATCTCTGAAGACGTTGAAGATTCTTTCTAAATCGAAGGGGGCTGTTATCAGGTCTCAGCGCCTTCAAGGGCACCAATGCTTCTAGGAGTTATAACTTCTAGTACAATTCGCATGCCTTGCCAGCATAGAACAACCCCCGTGAGCCGTACGCTAAACCCTAATCCCTAAACCCTATTTCCCAAAACGCTTAACCCTAAGCACTGTCTTCCTAATCCTTAAACCATTAACCCTTCAACAGCCTGCCTCCATTAAACACAACCCTAAGGCTCCATGTGCTCACACATAGTATATATACATTGGCCCCAAAGAAACTATATAGGAACCCCTTTGAAGCCTAAGGATATGCTATATGGGTACATGGAGCCTTTGGGATAAGGATATCATCATAAAGAGACCCGGGTTTAGGCAATCCCGATTGCTCGCCAGCTGCATGCGAGGTACAGGCAGAGGCCAGCGCGACGCAAAAGGCCACGGCGACCGCGGAGGCCACCTACACAGTGGCCCGGCTTCGCATTTTGAGTTAAGGCTTAAGTGTCCATAAACTTATGGGAGCTCCCCACTCCAGCAACCCTTAAGAAACCCCAAACCGTAAAATGCCCTATGATAAATAGGCCTTACGAGCCTGCTCTATGATTCGATGCCACTGGACAGTCTCATAAAAACCTTCCAGGTAGCAAAGAGCGTGACCTGGTGATTTCACATCATATTTTTGGGCTCTTGGATGTCCTGCTGTTACGCAGCTGTGCACAAAAAGTCTGGCCTTGCCACTATGCGTTTGCGTCGCTTGGGTTCTGCAGACACGGTGTCTTAGCAGTTGCTGCAAAACCCTGACAGGCATCAACCTGGAAACTGTGAACGTTCAGCCACCTCCATTCTGACTCCGTTCTTGCATTCTCTCTGAAAATAGACTTGCCGCTATGGCTGTTTCCTACGAGGGGTCCGCGCCTCCATATTATTAAGAATACTACAAATTGAAGCTCAGCCTTCGGATCTCTGTGTGTTGTCGGACTTCCATAGAGAAGTAGCTGCTGCTCCCCTAAACCCGCCCCAACCCCCTTTTTTGAACCTCTCAAGCTTAAGAAGTGGGGTAAGGCAATGCCTTATACCCAGAACCCTAAACCCTAACAAACCCTAAACCCTGAACCCTAAAGCCTAACGAACCATAACCCGTTTAAACCGTTCAGAGATTACTCCGAACTGGGGTCCAGCAGAGCAGGGTCTGGTTCTCGAACCACAGGCTGAAACCTCGGGTTTAGGGTTTAGGGTTTAGGGTTGGGGGTTTGGGGTTTAGGGTTGGGGGTTTGGGGTTTAGGGTTTAGGGTTTAGGGTTGAGGGGATTGGGTTTAGGCTTCAGGGTTTAGACTTTAGGGTTTAGGGTTCAGGTTGCGAGGTGGATCAGTCTTTTGGCGTGCCATACTCTCTTGCTGTGTTCATGGACCTCAGAGGCACGTCAGCTGATGATTACACAAACCTGAATCACAAGGTGTCCTTATTCTTATGACACAATGACATACCCCGAAACTCGAAACCCAATCTTAATCATTAAGGCCTCCATATTTGACTATATGGTGTGAGTCTAAGCCCCGTTGTGGTGCCAAGGCGTATGCGGAGGCTCGAGATACAGCAACTGCCAGCTACAAGGTGGCGGCATTTTGTTTATGCAGGATTTACGGTTCTAGAGTTTAGGTCATCGGGTTTTTGGTTTGGATTTAAGGCTGATTTTTCAGAGACTTTTCAGCCACCACTTCGGAAAATCTGTCACGCGAAGCTTCGGCAAACATGTGTCGAGTGTAAGATCTGCATTCAATGCTCAAGCCATGTGCCAACGGCATCTGCATTTATGGGTTGATGTCCTGCGCACCCTGAACCCTAAACTTTAAGCCTTGTATGAAATTTGGTTTTGCAAGTGCGAAGCCTGCAGCTAAGTCTGAGACATAAACGCAAAAGTCAGATTTCAAAGCCCCACAGCCCCTAACCACACCCCATATCTCTGAAGCTTAAATCTGAAGCGCGAATTAAACCCCCAGACCTAAACCCTAAACCCTAAACCCTAAACACTAAACCCTAAACCCTAACCCAAACGAACTGCCAGGCAGTGGCGACAGCAAACGCGCAGCAGAAGGCGGAAGCCCTCTCAAACTGCGGATAGAATATATGGCTTCTTTCGGGTTCGTTTCTACAAGGGGTCTATAAGGGTACTACATGGGTTTAGGGCTATTGGGTCTAGCTTGCGGTTTAGCTTTTCGGATATCATATCAACATGTATCATACGGTTGGTTTGCATTACATTTTCGTTTTGTTTAGAGCTGTACATGTGACAAAACGGCATTGTTGGCAATAACGTGTTAGAGGTCTGTACCGCTGAACCATCACCAAGCTAATTTGGCTATGTTTATGTTCTGGTAGCACCAGGCCATTGCATAAGAGCTTGCTTCAGTAGAAGTGTCATGCTATGCTTGTATGAAGTCGGTGCTCATATGTCGTTGACACGGGATGCTGCTTCTGTGACCATACTATTGCTTTGTGTTGTGACACCAGCGTGGTGCCGCATGACAGCAGAGTAATAATCAATATTGCCGTATGTGCACGGTGTAAAGCTCTTGTACTGGTACCCTAAACCCTAAACCCTTTTGCATGATCAACAAAGTAAGATTGACTGACATGCTGTTGTCCCTCTGACACAATAGAGGGGTATTACCCTCAGGAGGTTTGGGGCGAAGGTTTGAGGGTTTAGTCAGAGTCAACTTAGAGTCAACTTTAGTGCCTCAGGATTTAGGGTCTGGTTTTGGGCTTAGGGTTTAGGGCTTAGGGTTTTAGGGTTTAGGGTTTAGGGTTTAGGCTTCAGGGTTAGCCCTGGAGCTCAGAAACCTTACGCCCTCAATCTTCGTCGCTGGCCTAGATCTGAGGTCCTGGACCCTAAGCCTGCGAATTCCAAATCCACACCCCTAAACCCAAAGCCCCTAAACCCTAAATCCCTAAACCTAATCCGTAACCCCTAACCCCTGGTCCAAAAACGTGTCCAGGTCAAGGAGGATGGCTCGAAGGCGAAGATCGTGATTGTCACTTAGCGGAGCTAGGGTTTGGCGATGTGTTCGGAGGTTTAGGGTCCAGGGTTTAGGGTGTAGGGATTTAGGATGGATTAGGGTCTAGGGTTGAGGGCTTTAGGAGTTTAGGGTTTAGGTGTTTAGGTTCTGGGATTGGCGGGTTTAGGGTACAGCCTAAAGGGCCTAATTAACGTCAACGTTTGGGTCCTCAGCCCTCCTTTAGCTTAATCCGTACAAACCCTTACCCAAAGATCCTCGACCCTAAACCCTAAAGCCTACATCAACAAATCCGTAAACCCTAAACCCTAAACCCAAACCTTAAGGGGGTTCACAGAACAAAAACCCAAAGGCGTAAGGCCTGAAGCCACGTCGCCGAGGAAGCCACGGCAGCGGCGCGAGAGAAGGGCGAAGCTAGCTCCAAAGAGATCGCCAATTCCACAAGGCCTACCTGGACCAAGAATGATCGCCTGTTACAGTACAAGGATTTAGGGTGTGTGGTTAGGGTTTAGGATGCAGTGTTTAGGACGTGATGGTGTTAGGGTGCTGATACAGAGTTGGTTTGGGTTTCAGGGTTTACGAGTTTTACCAATATTTTGCTTAGAAGAATACCGGGTTTTGGGTGCTGAGTTCAGCGCTGTGTTAAGCTTTCATGCCGTCGATACAGTCGATACATGCACCAATCTTAAGACAAACATGCTCAACAACATCCATACCTCCAGTGCCAACAGCACTTGAAACAAAGTAACAGAAATTGCAATGCCGGTGTGATAAGAGTCCTGTTGCCATTATTGCCAGTACTCCTAAACCCCTGCACTCTCTTCGGCAGTAGGCCGTAGACCCAAACCCAAACCACCAGCTACCTCGCTGAGGACCTCGAATGAGGGCATGTCCTTAAACCCTAAGCCCTAACCCTAAACCCTAAACCCTAAAACCCTAAACCCTAAATCTTTGTGCCAGGACGGTGACAGCCAAGGGCGAGGGAGGCGTGTGGGGCCGTCGGGAGCTGCTAACTGCGTAGGTTTTTTTGAATCAGCGCTTTGCAGAACCTAAAACTCTAAACCCTATTATAAACCTTAGACCCTGAACCCTGTTAGAAACCCTAAGCCCTAAACCCTATTATGAACCCTAAGCCCTAAACCCTAATTCTGAAATTTATTGTAAGTTTTCGCAGAGTGTAGGGACAATGAAGTCTTAGTAAACAAGAGTGAGATAGGAAAAAACAACAACAGAAACTGGACCACAACAACAGTTGGGTGTGTATACACATATACATGTATTCATTTGCTCATGTATGTATGTAGATATTATCGACTGGTGAGCTTGGTTCTGTGTTTTTCGTGTTTGTTCATACGAATATGTATATGTCTCGGAGTTCCACAGTTATGTTTGGGATGTTTAGCGTTTAGGGTTTAGGGTTCTTCATAACTTGTAGTATAATAATACCCCCCAAATTCCTATTCTAATCATCATAAGCCACCCATCTATCATCTATGTCTCTCTGATAGGAAGCCGGCTGTAGAGTCGGTATCTTGGTAGCTGAGTAGGTAACCTTTAACCTCTTGGGGTTTATATAATCCTACCATAAATGCAAAGGTTAACCTTTTTGGGGCCAGGGTCCTCAACCCCTATGGTAAAGGATGCTTGCAGGCTAATGTGAAATCGCAAGGCTCGCGTACGTTACTTAGTTGGACCCTCGAGCAGACAACTTGCGAGGGGTTTAGGGTTCCGGGTTTAGGGTTTGGGCTAAGTCTCCTAGTCATTTCACCAGGGTGTAGTAGTTTAGGTCGGAGAATTTACATGTTTACAGTTTGTGAGGGTTTTAGAACAGCCCCCAGCGTTGTGGCAGATGTGACGTTGAAGCTCAAGCAGAAGGGACGAGGCAGGCTGTGACATCAGCATGAACCCAGTCTGAGTGCGATCTTTCGGGAAAGGGGTGTTGGGGGGAAGCCGGGTAACCACCAGGCCATGCCTACTTTGGTTTAAGGATAACAGGTCGACTGAGAGCTTAGGGTTGTCTTGAGGGTTTAGGGTTTAGGGTTTAGGGTGGGGTTTACGGTTGAGGGTTTAGGGTGGAGTTGGAGTCTGTTGGTTGGAGGTTTAAGGCGTGCGTTGTAAGGAGTTAGATTGCGAGTTATGTTTTCAGGCTTGAGGCGTCCAGAGTCTCGAGTCTACGGCTGAGGCCTTCAAAACTTCGATATGTATACACATCATATGTATATATATATATATATACAGATTATACCTTGAACTACAAATATAAATATTAATGTTAATATAAGTATAGGTAATTGAAGAGAAGATCCCTGAAGTTCAACACAAGGCAAGGGTTGAGGGTTTAGGAGAAGCAGCTTTGTTCTACACCCTGAAACCTGTCAAGCTCTAAAACAGATCAAGCCTTATATAGACCTTAGACCCGAATCACCCAAACCACGAAATCCTTAAGCCGAAGCCAGAAAGTCCATCCAACCCTAGATCTAGATCCTGAATCCTAAACTCACGTAACTGCATCTAGTTCCCAAAACTTGGCATTTTCCTAAAGCCACTCAAACCCTAAACCCTTCACACCCTGCGAGGTCAGGCCACTGCCGAAGCCGAGAAGAACGTGACCGTTCGCATGGAGGGCTCCGACTCTGTCCAGAAGCGGCTCGGTTTAAAGCAGAAGCCAGAAAGTTGGAACATCGTGATCCATATGCCCCTAAGGCAATCCCAGCTGTAATCATCCTTAAATAACCTATGTTCCAACTTTCTGCGGTTCGCTGTATGTCTAGGCACTCCTATGTTCCAACTTTCTGCGGTTGGCTGTAGGGTCTACTTTATAGGCACTATGGTTCATGGTTTGGGACTTCAGTACATCTCCAAAGAATGACCATCGCATGGACGCCACTTCAGAGAGCCCCGCCCCAAAGCCAAAAAAACCCAACCCTAAACCCTAAACCCCAAAGCCAAAAAATCCCGGGACAAAGGTTCGGGGGCAGTCCAATGCTTGCCAAGTCCATGATCCTGCCAGTGTTAAGCTGCCAAAGACAAAATCCCTAAACCAACCCTGAACCCTAAACCAACCCTTAAACCAACTCTAAGCCCAGAAGCCCTAAACCCTAAACCCAGAAGCCTTAAACCCTAAACCCAGAAGCCCTAAACCCTAAACCTTAAACCCAGAAGCCCTCAACCCAAAACCCAGAAGCCTTTCAAGCTGATTCCGCAAGATCCACATGCAGCTTCCACTAGCTGAGGAGCAAGATCCTCAATGTCAGGGGCATCGGTACCTTCAACAGGGAGTTCCAGGCCGTTTAGGGATAAGGATGGAGGTTTATATAATCATTTGTAAAGGTTTACAACCGTTCCCGTCATTGGCATGGAATGTCTGTCTGCCTGTCTGTCTGCCTATCTGTCTGTCTGTCTGTCTGTCTGTCTGTTTGTCTGTCCTGTCTGTCTGTCTGTCTGTCTGGCTGGCTGTCTGTCTGTCTGTGTCTGTCGGCATTATGCGAATGTACATGTACATGATTGCAGGTGTATTTATAGGCGTATTTGCTTATAAAATAATAGCATATAACATATGCATTGTAACGTATTTGCAAAATCGTGTAACATAATTTAACAAAGTTGAACACAACATGATCAGATGTACTATACTATACTATACCATGCTATCCTGTACTGTACCATAAAAGAAGAAGATCTAATAGTATTTATATATAAACCTGCAGCGAGAGAAATTAGGGGTAGAGAGAGGGGGTGTAAGTGTTCTGTGAAGTAGGTTTGTCGTAGCATCACCTCCACCGACACACCAAATATACACTCACAGCATGACTAATGAGTCCTATATGCACTCCCTGCAGCCCTACATACTGAGCCGCGCCCTGTCCCCATCGATCCTGACGGCCCCCAAAGCCATGTGAACCCGAGATGCGGGAAACAACAACTCAAGCATAGATCCCAGGCTCCTCGAAAGCCCCCTAAAACCTAAACCCTGAACCCTAAATCCTAAACCCTAAACCCTAAAAGCTATAGATCCAAACCTTATGGCCTCAAGCCATACCCAAATCCTGAAACCCTTAAACCTCCAAACCCCCGAACTCCTGTACTCCTACCCCAAAACCCCTAAACCCGAAACCCCCCCAAAAAACCCAAACAGCCTAAACCCTAAACCCTAAACCCCAAACCCCAAACCCCTAAACCCCAAACCCTAAACCCTAAACCCTAAACCCTAAACCCCAAACCCTAAACCCTAAACCCCAGGCCACGGCCACGGCGAAAGCCATCGTCGAGGCGAAAGCGTGCATCGCTTCGGACCAGGCCAGCTCCGGTTCAGCTTTCTCGAGTTAGCTCTTCCGGGGTTTAGGGTTTAGGGTTTAGGGTTTAGGGTTTAAGATTAAGGGTTTAGGGTTTAGGGTTTAGGGTTTAAGATTAAGGGTTTAGGGTTTAGGGTTTAGGGCTCCGAGTTTAGAGTTCGAGGTTTAGGGGTTTTGGGTTGAGGGTTGTAGGGTTCCGAGTTTCGAGTCATTTGAGGTTTAGGGGTTTGGGGTTGAGGTTTCAGGCTTAAGGGTTTTTAGGGGTTTAGGGTTGAGAGGTCGTGGTTCTTCTCGCTGACTCGCCGCGGCCACAAATTCTCAAAACGCACCAATCCTAAGCCGTATTCCCAAAACTAAACGGTGAAAATCCTGAGCTGCAAACCCAAAAACAAGCTTAAGCCCTACTCCCAAACCCTGAACCCTAACCCCTGAACTGCCTAAAACCTGAATAAAAGCAGAGACGGGAGGCCTATGCAACCATAAAAGACCCTTCAAAACCCTATCAAACTCCAACATCCAGGAGTAGTACACCAGTCTGACTTATCAGCAATAGTATCCCCTTTTTGTCCTCAAGTATCTGAACTATACTATAATCTAAAGGGGGCCCCTTTTGCAATCCGAAGAGGGCTTTGAGGCCTGGTGCTATAGTGTAAAAACTCTAACATACCTGACAGCCGTGTTTAGGGTTTAGGCTTTTAGGGGTTTAGGGTGTAGGATTTTAGGGTTTAGGGTGGTTAGTATAAAGAAGCCCCTACCCTAAACTTTAGGAGTTTAGAGTTTAGGGGGATTATAAAGAAGCCCCTACCCTAAACCCTGAGTAGCACCAGGCAGTGGCGAGCCTGGGCCTCGACGCCAAGAAGTTGTCGGGCATTCCCTACGCCCGATCCGTGTACAAGGAGGTGGGGTTTTGGGGGCTTTTTAAGGTTTATAGGGCCCTAAACCCTAAACCCGAAACCCTACGCCCTAATCCCTAAACCCTAAACCCTAAAATAGGGGGTGGGTTTGAGGGTTTAGGGCTTTTAGGTGTTTAGGGAGGTTTTCGGGTTTAGCCCTGAAGATGGTCCTAGGCTATCAAGGGTGCAGGGTGCCTGTTCGGGATCCTGTAAGGTTCATGTAGGAGCTCTGCAAGGCTCCGTTTAAAAGGACTTGGGGTTCCCTAAACCCTAAACCCCAAACCCCTAAACCCTAAACCCTAAACCCTAAACCCTAAGGTTTAGGATTTGGGGTTCAGGGTTTAGGGTTTAGGGTATACAAGAAAGGTTGGAGGTGTGAAGCTGCCAAAGTATGTAGTAGAACTGTATGCGGCTTTCGGGTTCGATTTGCATGCTGGGGAACGGGGAAGGGGCTTTTTTGGGGTTTGAGGTTCTTTTGGGGGTAGTGGTTGGAGTTCGCAGTGGAAGGGTGTGCAAACTCAGCTTCATGTGGTTGCCGAGCTCAAACTGGGTTTAGGATGGTTAGGGCATGCGGGGTTTAGGGTTTTTGCAGCTAGGGTTTGAATACTTGCACCATCAACCCTAAAGCCCTAGACCCTAAACCCTAAACCCTAGGCCCTAAACCCTAAACCCTAAACCCTAAACCGTCGTCTACCAGGCTGAACGAGAAGCCTACGCCCAAGCGCGAGAGAAGGCCACGCGCGCCGCGGTGGACTTGGCCACCAAGGTGGGGGGTTCCGACTCGGGAGATCTCTAATGTAGGGGCTTGTTAAGTAGAACAGGGTCTGGGGGGTTCCTTTAAAGGGTTCTATAAGGGCTACTATTAGGGTCTAGCATTTAGGGGCCTGAATAAGTAGAATAGGGTTTGGGGGTATATTATTAGTTAAAATATGGGACCCCCAAAACCCTATTCTAGTGATCGGGGGTATCGGGTATATTCTAGAATTATAATAAGGAACCCCCAAAACCCTATTCTAATTATCAAGGCCCCTACATTAGAGCTGCAGACCCTGCCTGGGGATACAAAAGCCTGTCGTGTTGACGCTTATCCTTGATATAATTTATCCGGGGTCACAACCCGCTAATTATGTTTTTGCCCTCAAGAGCCTGTGGTTCTTTGCCACGAGTTCACTCTACGTTAGCTGACGGTGGCTTCTCGAATACGGGGATGAGTCTTTGGAGCCCAGGGCGGTTAAAAGCTGTGGAAATTGATGCAGATCCCTTGAAATAGTCATGCTTGTGCCACAGCTTCTTATGAGCAGATGATTTGTCGACAAGAAACCCTCATCACTATTCAGGGCTCGCAACTCATGCTTCAAAATTGGGGTTCGTGGCCTTGCTATCACTCCGTCCGGCCTAAATACGATACACCGGGTGCATCTTTTACATTGATGTCATGGTGCCTGCATGTGTGGCTTCGTCGCTGATCATCCCAACCTCACTGAAACTAAGTGGCGCTGTAACGTCCCAGAGCGCAGGGCTTCGTCTTGAATTTCCCGAAACTCCAAGCCCTAAAGGCCCAAATCCCGAACCACTGGGTGAGATTGCCTGAAACGTTTTAGTCTCAAAGAGCAATACAGAGGCTTAAATAATTACCAATACTATTTTGGAGGTTCCTTATTATGATCAAGTATAATAGACCCCAAAACCTTGTTCTAATTATTAAAGGCCCCTAAGCCCTAAACCCTTATAGTAGCCCTTATAGAACCCTTTAAGGAACCCTTTAAAGGAACCCCCCAAATCCCATTCAAATTACTAAGGCCTCTACATTAGAGAGCTACCCATGCGCAGGAAGCCACCAAGCGCATCGACGAAGACATCGACAGACAAGTCGACGAGTACAAGAAGGCGGAAGTCCCAGGTGATAGCATATAGGGGCTTTTATAACTACGTACCTCGCGCTTATGAAAAGTTGCTATGAAAGGTTACTATGCCAACTTATTAGGATGAGACTTTCGGAACCCTAAGACTCTAAGCTCCGTCTCCTCTGGTCCTGGATAGTATGGACCGAAGGTCGTCGCACTTAGTTAGAGATTCGCTCTTTGCCTTTGACAGGTAGTCCAGACATGATATTTCAGCTCTACATGTCTACAGTAGGCCTGGGTATTGGGTTTGAAATTAAACTTAATCCAGTAGGCCCTAAGCTCTAACCGTAAAGCTCTGCCAACCCCAGAGTCAAGAAAACTCGAAAGCCTCACACCCTAAAGTTCAAAGCCAAACTCCTTGACCCTGAAACCCCAAATCACGAAGCCACCGACCAGTTAATTAACCCTGAATTTCCTGGTCAAGTCTCTAGCCTCTAAATGTTGGGTATCGAACCCTAGTAGCCTTGTGAGGCTTTTGCACGGCTTTTGTAAGGGCTTTCTTTCCCGGGAAGTTTACAATGCTTAGAAGGCGAAGACGGGTCATGGCAAGAGCAGCTGAGATTGTCTGAATACAGTTGGGCACAGATGGGGTTCAGCGTGTATCCCTATGCCTAAACCCTAAGCCTAAACCCTAAACCCTAAACTCCCTAAACCCTAAACCCTAAACCTAAACCGTAAACCCTATCCCGCAACCCTAGACCACATCTCGCACTTGGGTGTTTTTGGGTTCTGGTACTAGACCCTAAACCCTAAACCCTAAACCCTAAACCCTAAACCGACTAGATCCTGCTTCCGAAGCCGATCCCTCCCTTTCCCTTTTGCTCATACGGCGTCATACGCCATCTCGACGAAAGCTCACAAGGCTGGTCCCCTGGACCCTATGAAGCACCGAAGCAAACACTGTTCTGTCTTCCTGCAGCTTTTGAATCCGAGTGGGGCGCATCTCGTAAACCGTCTTCAAATCAAAAACCGACATTTTAACTTAAACCCTAAGCCCTAAACCCTAAACCCCTAAACCCCAAACCCAAAACCCTAAACCCTAAACCCCAAACCCCTAAACCCTAAACGCCCCACGCCTCTTGAGCACTCTGCAAAGCTCTACGTAGGCCCTCAACATGATCCCGGCAATCCTCCTGAAGCCCAAAACCGCGAACCCGAACCTTTAATCCTAAACCCCGAACCTCAACCCTAAACCCCTGAAGCCCAGACCCCTGAACCCTAAACCCCTGAACCCCAACCCCCTATAAACCCCGAAACTCAACCCTGAAATTTCGAGCCCTAAGCCCCTAAACCCTAGACCCCTAAACCCTAAACCCTAAACCCTAAACCCTGAAATTTCGAGCCCTAAGCCCCTAAACCCTAGACCCCCAAGCCCTGAAGCCCAGCAGCCCCAAACCCTGAAATTTCGAGCCCTAAGCAGAGCCCTCTGACACCCCAAAACCCTAAATTAAACCCTAGAAACCCTATAAACCCTACAAACCCTAAACCCTATAAACTCTATAAACCTTAAACCCTGAACCCTAAACCCTAAAACCCGATACACCCTAAACCCTAAACCCTAAAACCCTAAAGCCCTATACCCTAATCCCTAAAACCCTATACACCCTAAACCCTAAAACCCTATACCCTAAACCCTAAACCCTAAAACCCTATACACCCTAAGCCCTTGACATCGAAACTCCTAAAAACCCTATAAGCCCTTAACCCCTCAACCCTAAACCCTAAAACCCTATACACCCTATACACCCTAAACCATATAAAGAACCCTAAACCCTATAAACCCTAAGCCATAAACCCCAAAACCCTAAACACCCTAAACCCTAAACCCTAAGCCCCCCAGCTCGAAAACCCTAAACCCTAAACCCTAAACCCCCCAGCTCGAAGGCCCACAGAGCGGAGCTACAGGCGGTGGCCCTCCAGGATGCCCTCAAAGGCGGTTTAGGGTTTAGGGTTTAGGGTTTAGGGTTTAGGGTTTAGGGCCCTAAACCCAGGGTTTACGGTCCCAGGGTCCTACAAGGGTCCTAGGGGGGTTTAGGGTCCTAGGGTCCTAGGGTCCTAGGGTCCTAGGGTTTAGGGTTTAGGGTTTAGGGAAGAGTTTAGGGTCCCAGGGTTTAGGGGTTTAGGGGTTTAGGGGTTCGGGGCAGGGTTCAGGGGTTTAGGGTTTCGGGGTTTAGGAATTTGGGGGTTTAGGGGTTCAGGGTTTAGGATCCTAGGGTTTAGGGGTTCAGGGGTTTAGGCGTTCAGAGTTTAGGGTCCTAGGGTCAGGGTTCTAGGGGTTTAGGGGTTTTGGGCTTTTGGGGTTTAGGGGTTTGGGGTTTTGGGTCCTGGGGTTTAGGGGTTTAGGCGTTCAGGGCTTACGGTTTAGGGCTTCGGGGTTTAGGGTTTTTTGGGCTTTAAGGTCCGTTTAGGGCCTTCTAGTGCTTTAGAGGTTTCATCAGATTGTCCTTAGGTTCTGTGCTCTTATAAGTAAGAGTCTACTTACAGGCTGTTCAGATGCTCACGAAGCTAGGGAAAGTTTTGGTGATCTTTCTATGTTGTCACCACATCTGTATGCAAGTGAATAAGAGGGTCGTTAGTTGGTACAGGTCCGTACACGGATATCACATGTAGTCAAACCCCTACGATTGACCTCGGGTGTTGGGTTCAGGGTTGTTGGTGCGAGGCTTACACAACCGCATCAAGCCTGCGATCAGAAAGACTGCTAGATCTCGCTTTACTTACTCAAGCCAAGTAGCTGTAGGAACGCTATCGAACCATAATTACAAACTGGCTTTTCAGGGCGCTGCAGATGAAATCGTTTGTTTCTTTCGTGCTTCGGCTGCAAGGCCACCAAGCCCCAAACCCGAGAGCACGGACTGCTTTGAGTTCTCATATTTCATCCCCTCGAGCAAGCCGTGCTCTGAAATAGGGGTTGGCTCCGGGCTTGGGATTTAGGTGTCCGGTAGGGTCCAAAGTATTTAAAAATGAGGTACTTGGTTTGGGAGCAGTAGTAGCAATTAACATAGCTGAGGAAGTGTTGGGAGTTAAAGAATATATTAGCTATTTGCACCCACCGGGCATGAGGCTGCCGGCGGGGTGCAGTCACTGAGGGACGCATGCCTCGCCGACAGTTGGGGCAACCGCCATGTTTTAGCCTCGCTCACCCCCAAATTCGACAGGAGAGTTGGCGGAGTAGTGAAGAAGGTTTAGGGTTTAGGGTTTACCTTAAGAACCCAAAACCCACTTTTATGTGGGTTCTTATTATAAACCTTAATATGGGATTTATGGGGACCCTGCAAAAAAAGTAGGTTTGGGGTGCTTAAGGTAGCGTTTAGCCAGGTAAATACAAGCTATTGGGTATTGCAGCGCAGAAGCGTCGTAGTGGCACCTTGCTGCGCCCCATCATCGCACCACATCGGACACTACCCCTAAACCCTAAACTCTAAACCCTAAACCCTAAACCCATTACGTTCCACGACCTTGCACTGGGTTGCATTCGCGCTATCCGCCACTTATTTGCACCCGTAGCCCTCGAACTTGCCGTACCAGGCCTGGTGTAGACTGCGAACCGTAAGCCTTCGATGTCCTCGGTGGGGCTGGCTTGTAGACAACGGGGATGCTTTTCTTTAACATACGCATCCTTACTTTCAGTCTATGTGATGGTCCGCAATGTTCTGAAACTCCCATATCCTGCGAGGCACCCTGGCGGAGCAGAAGGAGCTGCAGGCAAGATATCAGGGCACCACTAGCATTGAGCCATAGTGCTTGGAAACTCACAGAAGTTTATGAAACCACTGAAGCCCCAAACTGCAAAGTTGTAGAGCTTATGGGCTACCCATAGGCCCCATAGTAGTCCCTCTTTGGGATTTCCTACTGGGATCCTAAATATAAGCCACAAAAAGGAACTACTATGGGGCTTATGGCCTAAAGCCTCCGATCTCAGCCCACCTGACTCTGTAGACCACCCACCCCTGCGACCCTACCTTAGGGGTTTAGGTTTCTTAGTGTATAGGAAAACCCTAGGGTTTAGGGTTTAGGGTTAGGGTTTAGAACCCAGAAAGTTGGAAACTGGATTAAAGAGAAATCGTGCCGGGATTCCCTATAAAAAATACTCTTAAGGAGTGAGGCTATTGGGTCTCCAACTTTTGGGTTTAGGGTCTAGGGTTTGGGGTTTAGGGTTTAGGGTTCTTCTACTATAAGGGATCTATACGGGTGCCAGAAGGGATGTAGCAAGGGTTGATTTCCCCTGACCGGTACAGATACAAAGCCTTGTCAGCGCCGGCAAGGACAATCCAAGCCCTTCCAGAACCGTTGAAAATCAACTTCAATGATAGTCTGGGTTCTTGTTGAGGATTTAATTAATCTAAGTTAACATAGTAGGGATCTATAGTAACTATTATGATTAGATCCCCCTCTTATGGCAACTTGAATCAAACTCCTTGACAAGAGCCCGAGTAGTTCACGCTGAAGTAGACGAGTATAATGAAACTTGTACAGGCCGCAAAGGGTCCTAAGCGCCTATGTCGCAGATACTAGGATTTAACCCCAGCCCTAAACCATGAACACTAAACCCTAAACCCTAAACCCTAAACCCTAAACCATGAACCCTAAACCGTATAGGGTTTAGGGTTTAGGTTTTTTAAGGGTTTGCCGTAGAGTGTCCTATTTAGGTACTGAGGACCCTTCCGGGTTGGGCCAGACATCCTTCAATATTCAGGGCTTCGGGTTTAGGGGTTTAGGGGTTTAGGGGTTAGGTTTTTTTACGGTTTGGGGTTTAGGGGTTTTGGGGTTTTGGGGTTTATAGGGTGTAAAGCGTGGTTTTTTTGAAAACTTCAACCCGAAGTCTACGCCCGGAGAACCCCAAACCGCTCGTGGGCAATTCAATCTCCCTGTTCACAGGGCCGGAGGTGGTGAAACTTGGACTGCGGTCCCCGCTCCACCCGTCTGTCAAGGACGAGTTGCATGACTACCAGAAATGCTACGCCATGGAGAACCCTAAACCCTAAACCCTAAACCCTAAACCCTAAACCAGAACGGGCATCTGATCCTGACTAAGGAGGGCCAGAAAGTGGCGTTAGACAGCCCGCGTTGGAGGGCTATACTTATTCAGGCGACCCTGGACCACATGGTACAGTGGGTAAGGGGTTTAGGGTTTAGGGTTTAGGGTTTAGGGTTTAGGGTTTAGGGTTTAGGGCTTAGGAACCCTAAACCCTAAAACCCAATAGCTGTCGTAGAACCCTCGAGTGGAACGCACTGTTGAAGGATTCCGGAGCGGAACCATCCAAGATTCCTCAAAGGGCATCTCAACAGAACCCAAAAGGAACCCCTACAAGAAGCCTTAAAGAAGCCCTAGGCCCGCAAAGGAAGCCGTAAAGAAACCCTAAACTTCCTGAGGGTTCAGGGTTTAGGGTTTCG